TTACCAGTTTGCCCAGGAAATCTGACTCATTTCTTACAAAATGTTCCAAAACAGCCACCAATGACTCCACGTGTTTCTCTTTTGTTTGGTTGTCAAATGTTTAGGGATCCACTTTGCTGCCAGTTTTCTCATTTCCAAGTCATTGTGGATAATGGCACCAACTCTCTCACATGATATGCTCATATAGCAATAGTTTTGGCTGATATTCGGCGGTCCTCCATGATCATGTCATGGATGGCTTTCACATTTTCAGGCACATAGAGAGAAACAGCCCTTCCACTGGGTTTCTCACTTTCAACACCAAAATGGCCAGTTTTAAAATTGACAATGCAATGTCTAACTGTTGCATATGAAGGGCCACTGTCACCCATAGTTTGTGACATTTCATCATGGATCTGCTTTGCACCTTTCCCTTGGAGAAACAGGAACTTGATTATGGTCCTATGCTCTTCCACATTGAACTTTTCTGGAGGTGCTGCCATGTTCACTTTGAAGCTGAACACGAAAGATAAGTTAAAATCATAAGTAGTTGATTTTTGCACCGTTGAATAGAGACAAATTGGCCAATATACCCTGTAATTTATAGCTTCCTAGCTCAATTTTTTCAGAGAAAGGCTCAATACTTATCATCACCCCCTCATATGTGAAATTATCTTTGTACTGTAATGCCATTTTTTCAGATACTGTTTTGTAAAAAGTGAAAAATACAAAGGGGTTCTTTATTGTTAACATTTTATTTAGAATATAACGTCACAAACCAGACAAAGTGAAAACACTAACCCATCAATCACTATGACCAGATAGACGAACAACAAAAGATTTTTAAAAACCCACTACTAACTAAAGCGATTCCTTCCCCCCATTTTGAGTCAGAGACTCCAACATTGTTTGGATCTCGGATTTCTCCAATTGGTTTCAAATGAGAACCACATTTTATTTAGAATATAACGTCACAAACCAGACAAAGTGAAAACACTAACCCATCAATCACTATGACCAGATAGACGAACAACAAAAGATTTTTAAAAACCCACTACTAACTAAAGCGATTCCTTCCCCCCATTTTGAGTCAGAGACTCCAACATTGTTTGGATCTCAGATTTCTCCAATTGGTTTCAAATGAGAACTGAGTACATAAAAACCAGATTTTGCCCTACAATTGCAAAGTTCTGATGGTAATGATTTGCAACCTGATGCTTTTGCAGAAATACTCATACTGCTTACAGCCAGCTGTTAAGGCATTTGGGGTGGCCTTTCTTGTCTTTATGTTTAGATGTTTAAATGGAAATGCATTTTAGAGACAATAACTGTTGAAAGTGTTTCAGAGGTATTCCTGTGTGGTTGTTCTGTTGTAAAATAAACTGGTTATATCAGGGTTGTTCACTCATCTGAGAGGTGATGAATTTGCTTTTGTTAGGGCATGATTGAACTGAACTTAAAGCACACTATCTGATTAAGCCATTTCAGATAGCTGCTGATTTATTCTTTCCTTTTCCCCTCCTCAACAGTGTAGGTCATCAGGTTGATCATTTATGCAGTTTAGACGGCCATAAACATTGTAATACTGTTGGTCCTTCAGAAGCTCCAGAGCGTGTCCAGTTTATCTGGATTTCTTCAGAATTTCTCATGAGAGGATTAAAAGTCTGCTGGAAGCTTTTGGTGCCTGCTTCATGCATAACTGACCTGGAACCAGTGATGCAAAGAGTGGTGAAAATAATTGATGCCTTACTTTATATGCAAGGTGAGATGTCATTTGAAGTACTTGAAATTCCCAAGTACTGTAGTTATCTTGGAAACTTATGAATACTTTTGGTGAAGAATGCAATAATGCTGATCTTTCAAAGAACAATATACTGTACAGTATCTCTGCATTTCACATTAATATATGCAACTGCCTTAATATTGATTCAGGCTTCTTGGGGACTTTCAGAGGAAGCTTTTGTTCTGGGATCATTCTGCCTTATTCGCAGAATTGTACTGGTGGTCCAAACATTGTTCATAAGCCTCCCATGTTATTTAGCTACTTCTTTTTCTCTGGAAAAGAAAATTCTTAAGGAGGAAAAGGCAGAATACAGTGGTACCTCACTAGACAGTTACCCCGCATGTCAGTTTTTTCGCTAGACATTGACTTTTTGCAATCGCTATAGCAATTCGCAAAACAGTGATTCCTATGGGGGAATTTCACTGGACAATGGTTGGTCCCTGCTTCGCAAACCAATTTTCGCTAGACAACGATTTTGACAGCTCCCTCTGCGCTCGCAAAACGTGTGTTTTCGGGACTTAAGTTTCGCAAGATAGCTATTTAAACAGCTGATCGGAGGTTCACAAAGTGGCTTTCCTATGGCCGATCTTCGTTAGACGATTCTTCTCAATTGGAATGCATTAAACAGGTTTCAATGCATTCCAATTGGGAAATGCTTTTCGCTAGACAATGATTTCGCTAAGCAGTGATTTCAGTGGAAAGGATTATCATCGTCTAGCGAGGCACCACTGTACTGTATCTTCATAAGGCCTGTTCTGACTAATAGCTCTAGAGGGCCTTCTAGAGGTCAGGGGTCTCTACTCTTGACTACTACCTGATTTCCAAGGACTAAAGCTAATTGTTATTCAGAAACAGAGAAAAGCCACTAAATGACTATCTAGTCAAAGTGTTGACTTAACAAGTCTGAACTCTTCAGCGAGTCTGCTCTATTTAGGAATAACAATTCAGTTTAGCACTGGAATCTCAGAGGAATTTTTCGGCCTTGTTGCTTTTGGGATACTTTCAGATGCATGTGCCAAGGATTAAATATAGATGTGATCTAACTGCCATTCCCTAATTTAAAGTGCCAGTGCTGCTCTTTCATCCTCAATGAACATATCTGTTCCATGACTCTTGTGAATTAAATTCTTCTCTCTCTGTGCCTTTTCCCTCCCTCCCAAGTAAAAATTCAACTTAATGATGAGATGATTGAAAATGTATTTGGATTGCTATCCTTGCCATGGATTTCCAGCCATTCTGATGTCCCATTATTCAATCTTCCCGCACTTAAATTGGATCTTTTGGCTTTGGGCCAACATGCTGTAAGCCATTTCTGTAAGTAAATGACTGTATCTGATTTTGAAATGTATTATTTTGAAATTTTCTGTGCTGCTCTTGTGACTGGAGGTTCTTGTTGAGGCTTACATATTTAGAATAAAATAAATCTGTGAAGAAGAGCCACTTCCAAAGTGTGATCAGTTAAATTTTAATACATTGTTGTTGTTGTTCAGTTAAGTTGTGTCCAGCTCTTTGTGACCCCATGAACCAGAGCATGCTAGGCCCGCCTGTCTTCCATTGCCTCCCAGAGTTGGGTCAAATGCATGTTCGTAGCTTCAATAACACTGTCCAACCATCTTGTCCTCTGTCGTCCCCTTCTCCTGCCTTCACTCTTTCCCAACATCAGGGAGTCTTCTCTTCTCATGAGATGGCCAAAGTATTGAAGCCTCAACTTCAGGATCGGTCCTTCCAGTATGCACTCAGGGTTGACTTCCTTTAGAACGGATAGGTTTGATCTCCTTGAAGTCCAGGGGACTCTCAAGAGTCTCCTCCAGCACCACAATTCAAAAGCATCAATTCTTTGGCAGTCAGCCTTTTTTATGGTCCAGCTCTCGCTTCCATACATCACTACTGGAAAAACCTCCTTTGACTATAGAGACCTTTGTTGGCAAGATGATGTCTCTGCTTTTTAAGATGCTGTCTAGGTTTGTATACATTACTAAATTGTTGAAAGAGCCTTACCTAGCACTGAGGACATTAAAGTCAATACTAGGCATTGCCTGTCTTACCTTTCAAGGTGAAGCAACCTGAAGAAGGTGCCTCTGAGGTTGATCTCACTGACCTGATAAGTTTATATAAGAGAATAAGGCTGCTTTCTGTGTTGAAAGTTGAAGTGAGCATCTTTAAGCCTCTGGATTAAATCTCCCCAGATCGGCATGTTAACTTTCCCCACACCACTTACCAGGTAGTGCATTCAAAGCTTTAGTTCACTTTTCCCCAATTCTGAAAGCTGAAATGCCTCTTAATTAATTAAGATTAATTAATCTTTTAACTGCTGGTAGTAAGACTTTCAAGCTAAAATAAGCTGGTATTTTTGGTTCCATTATTTGGCTCTAGCTGTCACTGAAAAGGGACCTCCAAGAACCTTTCTGGAAGTGAATATAACCCTTGGTTTGAAGTAGGAGTCTCCAGATGTTGCACTGCAACCCACAGCTGCTCTTCCCATTAGCTCTGCAAGCTATTGCTGCTGAGGATTGGAATCCAACACCATCTAAAGAGCAATACTTTGGCCGCCTCCAGTCTGGAGATTAGAATTGGCCCTATGAATTGTGCTTGGAAATCAGTAGGGAGTGAGTGCAGTTGTTTCTAAAACTGTTGAAATTTATGCTATTCTCCCAAACCCATTCAGTATCTGTCCAGGTGTTTTTCAAGAACAAAATCTTCTGAGCAATCTTGAAAGGCCACCCATGTCCAATACATTGCAATAATCAGAACATACTGACATATGATGTTTAACATACATAGCCATTTAATTGAATGGAAGATTTTGTTCTTGAAAGTATTAGCCTTAATGACCAAGAGCTGTCACTGTGAAATGATATGCAGTTGTTTCCTGAACTTCCAGCAGTTCTGAGGTGCTGCATATATCTGTGGAAGTCACTACAAAAGAATATTTCATGGACTTTACAGTGCTTATGTGTTTTTCTCTTCAGCACCTGAAACTCAATCGAATTGTGCATTTCTTCTCTCCCTGATTCCGAAAAAATTATATCTGAAGTGGAGGAATTCTGTTTATCAACGTGCACTGCGGAGTCCACATGAAGTTCTCAGAGCTAGCTGTGTTAGAGGATTTCCTATCTTGCTGCACCAATCAGGTGTAAACTCCTGCACCACATTGCTGGCACCTCTCTTGTATGTAAACTTTGATGGTTACAATTCAACTTTGAGTAAAAAAAATGACTTGCCTGCCAATGAGTGAACTTGATCTTTGTGAAATATTAGCGCTGTGACAAAAGTGAGATATGGTAGAGATTTACAAATTTATTTATTTATTTATTTATTCAATTTATATGCCGCCCATACTACCGAGAGGTCTCTCAAACTGAGAGAAAGCCGTACCAAATATTCACTCCCAAGACATTTTGGGAAAAGACGACACGTACCATGGGTCATGACAGCCACCACAACTCTAGCTAAAAATCTGTTGGTGTAACATTATGCCACAGGTCCTAATAATATTATTACCCAGCACCGATAATATTTAATTTAAATGAGTGGAAAGCTTCTTACCTCCCTGTTCCATTTTCCAAGGCTCCCTGGGGCTCTCTTTTGCCCTGACGAAACCTCTGGGAACCTCAGGAGAGAGGGAAAACTTTACTAGTAAGTAAATAAAATCACTGACAGTCCTGATCCTGGGAGCAGCCATTGTGTTACTAGTAAAGGCCCCTCATCCCAAGGCTCCCAGAGGATTCATCTGGCTTCACAGTGTAGCTTGACACCGATTAGATTTTGCCCATTGCCCCTGTATGTTTCCAGCTCAGAAAGAGACAAGGTAGAAGTGCTAGCAGATAAGTGGACTGCCTTCCTCCTTTAGACTTAGTAAGACTGCTGACTGCCATTCTTATTAAACAGCTGCAAAATCTTGTCCACTGATGTTTTTCCTCTCGCCCTCAAGCACAAGTTAATTCATAATTTAATCTAGCATGTGTGTGTCATCTTGATTTCCAAGAGAAATAAGAAATCAGATTTTTTTTCGTAATTTGAGAAATAAGAGGAACTAATGTTCTAAGACAAAAATTTGAACAGCTTGGGCTCCCCTCCCCAGGTGTAAACTCCAAAGATATGTATAACATATATGTATCAGGAGGATGTTTAAGCATGTTGCAAGACACAAATGAATCATAAACATGTAAGTAGTACGTTGGTTGCCACTTAACCACCAGTTTGGACAATCAGATCCTGACTAAAGCTGCTAAGATCTGTACTAGTATGTATTTTGATATACACATGTACACATTTCATACCAGTGAGTAAAAGCATCAGGTAACCGTGACATTCCTGTATTTCTGAACCAGGAATTTACAGGTTACAGAAACGGGGATACAGAAACCAGCTGTAAAAATGGATTCCTATCCTGCCTTGTTTGGAAGCAAGGAGCTATTGCTTCCTCATTCAAATGCAGTTTCTGGCTTTGTTTTCCTTTTGACATCAAGGGAGGGGTATAACTAAGAGCAGTGAGGCTGCATGTAGGTGCACAAAGCTCTTGCATATCATGGCTTAATAAGCCAAGATTTGATCTTCTGAATACAGCCTATTTGCCAACCCCCCCCAAACATACTACCATACTACATGCAGAAAACAACTAGTCACTACTTCTTTATTTCAGAGACAATATTAGCGACGAATCTCTGTTAGTCCAGAAAGCTTACGCTAGTATCATTGGAAACTTGGCTTGCTGCCTTTCTGACAACTTGAGCCTGAATCCATCTCCAGTTAATCTTGACATGCAGTCCAAAAGTTACGGCGTCCTCTGCAGCACACTTACAGTGGTTTCTTTGTCTGAGGAAACTCGTGCTGTAAAAGCCGATGTGTTCAAGCCATTTTTATATCTTCTTGAAAGCCACAGAGCAAGTTCCATAAAGCTTGGTAAGTTGCTTCTAAAAATAATTAAGTGATGGAATTGTTTTTCCCCCTGCTTGCTTCTTGTTGTGCCTTTTAACATTTTTACAGTGTAAGTGCTGATGGGACTGGAATAAACTTGCAGTAGACGGTACTCATGTTCAGTGTTCTATCTAGTCAATGATGTCCTCTTTCAGGATAGACCAGGCTGTCCCCCATTTTCTCATCTTATCTCCCAGGGGCAGGCTTCAAGGAAGAGTCTTGCTTATATGCATAGCAACCATGATGTCTGTGTGGAGCTCCCTGTGAGAAAGGAGAGTGTTTCCACTGAGACATGGGAGAATAATTCTGTTTCTTATTTTGCAAATCTTTCTTACCTTCGGGCTTCCCTGGATCCTAAACAATAATGGTGAGGTCCTCATGGTGTGACCCCATAGCAGCACTTAAGATTCATATGTTGATTTAATCAAAAAATTCATGCTGATCTTGTAAGGGAGAAAAAAAGGTCCAGAGATACAGAGCCTTACTCTTTTTTTCCAAATATACCATGAAGTATTCTGGAAGCTGAGTCCAAAAAAGTGAGTTTTCCTTTTTTTTTCTGGACACCTCATTTTCCATTGGAGAGGTACCAAAAGCAACAAAGCAGCACGTGATTATTATAGCCTTTGTCTCCCTTTCCCATGACTTCTTGTGAGGAGAATATGTTCTCCTCACAATAAAGGAAAATATTCTTTATTGTGTAACCAGTCTTCCCAAGAAATAAAAAGTTTCTTGTTGTTAGACTGATATTTGACCTGTTTCACTATTGCTTTCTCTTCTAGAGTTAATAAAGAGTATTCCTCTGCTTTTTAAACACCTGGATTTCAGAAAAGATGAAATAAATGTAAAAGCTGTTGTTGGGGCTTTCTTAAAGCTAATGGAAGATCCAGATAAAGATGTACGAGTGGCCTTTAGCGGCCACATCAAGTATCTCCTGGGTTCTTCAGACATTGAGGAAGGACTTGTTAAAGAGGTGAGCTTCCTAAATATCTTGAAATAACCAAAAAATGCAGTGCCATTCCAAGATATGAAGATAATTTCAAGTTTTCTGTTTCAGCTCTTTGTTTCCAGAATGAAAGAGGCATATACAAATGCAAAACTGTCAAGAAATAGTGAGCTGAAGGATACACTGATTCTCACAACAGGAGATATTGGAAGGTATGTTTCTAGCAGTTCAATTTCTGATATCTAAATAAATCAATCTCGGGAGACATTGCGTGCAAAATTGTGAATTATGGAAATATATTCACTGTTAAGACAATGGTGCTGAATTTGTTATACAAGCCAAATGAGAGAGAGCAAGAGAGAATCTATCTTGTTTTTGAATAAATTACCTTATGAGTCAATATTGTGTTGTAATGAATGTATATCGGTATTTTCCTTTCGAAGGGCTGCGAGAGGGGATTTGGTGCCCTTTGCACTCTTGCACTTGTTGCACTGCTTACTGTCCAAGTCACCATCTGTGGCTGGAGCGGCATATACAGAAATCAGAACTCTGGCTGCTGCCAACTCTGTAAAGCTTCAAGTCTTTTTCAGTCAGTACAAGAAGCCCATCTGTCAGGTAAAATGTAATGGCAACCTAGGGAAAACATGGATCTTGTTTTACTGGGGTATTCTAGGGATCTGATGTAGTCTTCTTGTTTATCCTGTGGTTTGTCTTCTTATCCTGCAACATACACAGGCAAGCATTTACAGCTTTCTAGTGACAGAATCAAGCTCTTTTGCCTCTATATATTCCATTAAATTTTCACCACTCATGTGTATGCCACTTCCCTTCTCCATCTCCTGCTGAGACACCACTTCTGAGTTACGATACTCATTACGCATCTTAATTGAAAAAATATCAAGTACAGCAGTTCACTTCCTAAGGTCTGCCCAGGGCAGGCTTTATTGCACGTTGACATATAGTGGATAAAATCCTGTAGCGTAACATAAGCAAGGTTGCAGGGTTCGGTTTGTCATTTGCTGGTATCTAAAGAGCTCCTGTTGTGATTCTCAGGGGCTCACACAGACATGTTGGCTTCGTGTGTGCACATCCCTGTACTTTGGAAGCTCTTTGTTTACCAGCAAAGAACAGACCAAACTTTGTTTACCAACAAAGAACAGACCAAACATTATCCTGTTGTGTAATGTAAACATTATACAACAGGATAATGTTTGATCTGTTCTTTTGGGCACTATATCCATGGCTCTTACTCCCACAATTTTCCTTACATTTTGAATAACGGTAGGTAGTTTCACAGTAGTAGACATTTGTGGTTTTCTTTAGCACGCTTGCCTGCTTCTCAATGTTGGATGAATGAGTCAATGGAAATAGAGATGTCCCTAACAGTAATGGAACTCCACATGATAGCTGGAGAAGAGGGCACCATTTCCAGTCACTGACTATGGATGAAACTGGGATTTCTATCCCTCTGGATGAAAATCTTGCTTCTTAGAGTTTTAAGCTGTTGTAAGAAAATACTCTCTCATTATAATTGTGCTCAGTTGAATTTTATATACATATATATAACCGAAAGGCTTTTATATATACAGAAAGGCCATTTTCCGGTGCCTGTCTTGCAAAAAATGCCTCCTAAAAAAAGCAGGGAGCCATTTTGAGCAGCCGGTGGCCATTTTGAAAACCCGACGATCAGCCGTTTTGATCATCGTAATGCGAAGAATCAGTTCCCGAAGCAGGGAACTGATCATTGCAAAGTGAAAAAAACCCATTAAAACATTGTTTTGCGATGGAAAAGAAGGCTGAAATCATTATAATAACATGCAAAATAAGATCCTAACATACTTCTGGGACATATATGCTTTTGTTGTAGCTTATAAGTTCAGGTTGTGAGTTCTTGAAGATTTAATTTTTGGCTTTGATTTAATTACCGACTTTTCTGTACCAGAACTTATATTAGCCTTCTCAAATATGAAGACTTGTTATATGAAAGGAACTTTACCACACTTGACTGTCAGGGATGAGTATTTCCTAAATATGAATATTATCCAGAGGTGGAATGATACCTGCCAGAGCTATGCATTTCAAACATAGGGCTTGATTTAACTTGTGAATCACACATTAAGCCCTAAACAGCTAGGAACTTAGTAGCAACATTTCCACTATTGTATGTATAGTTTCATTGTTCTTCCCCCAGTGGACATGATTGTGGGTGATGTCTATGCTAACTGTAACAAAGGTTAATCTTTACTGTGGTTTGCAAGCCTAGTATTACCCATGGTTGATGAGTATGTGGCCTGAATAGTGGTGTGTAATATTAGAAATTGGCATGAATGTGATGATTGGCAAGAAGAAAGCATGTGATCATACAAGCACGTTCCTAACATCTGCAGGTTAAGAGAATTGTATTTGTTCTTGCTCTGGCTTAATGCCAGAGAGGTTATTAAAGTAAAAACCGATATAACAGTATCTGAGATTGCAACATCAGTCCCCTTCAAATAGTTGAAAGTGTAATTTCTTTAGTTAATGATTTTTGACAAAATTGTCCTAAGTGAGAATTCTGTTCTTGTGGGGTTTTTTTGTATGATGACAAAAATAACATTTATTTTTCAATGTTTAGTTTTTAGTGGAATCTCTCCACTCTAGACAGTTAGCCATTATTTCTCAGACTCCATGCCAAAGCAGTGAAATGCAGAAACAAGAGATGGCTAATCAGAGGGAAGCAACTCTGGATATATTATCTGAAATTGCCAATGTTTTTGATTTTCCGGACCTCAACCGCTTTCTCAGTGTAAGTTATTGTGAGTTTTCCAACACAGCATTCAGAAAATGGATTCAGAAAATGTTACCTTTTCTGAATTGTTGGGCAGAATCCTATTATTCACTATGTGCTGGCATAAATAGTATAAATTATAGCTGTGATTTGCCACTAGTAAAGAAATCAACCCATGATGGGTGGTGGCAGCCGGGTCAACAGGAGTGAAGTGAGAAAGGCCCACCTTCCCCTATGAATCGGGACTGTGCTGTGAAATATATACTTGCATAGTGTTAGCCTGACAACATAAAGCTAGCACTTCTGGTATAAAAGATAATAGTTCCATAGCTGCCATGATAGCTATGAAATCCTAAGCAGGACCTGTTAGACGAGCCATGGTGACTTGCATTCCATGCAGTTTTACATGGCTTCCTCTGAAATTGTTGTTATAATTGCTGGGGGATGCTATTTTATCAACCTGCTACATTTTTACACTTGCCGCTATATGTGTGCCTGGGTGAATTTCAGGAGGGAGTAGGGGAATGTGGTGCTCCTATTTGAGTTATATCAGGCAGAGAGAAGATGGCTCTGGGAGTCGAGCATGCCAGGTAAGAGGAAGGCCGAACAGATGCTTGAAACCCCTCCCATGTTTTGGTCTTTCCCCTATCCCTCAAGATCCTGGTTGTCCTGCCAGCCCACCCTCTTGTCAGTTGGTACTGCTGCTCAATGCCAGGTCAGTCCATAATAAAATACTCACCATCCATTATTTGATTGTGGAGGGGGGGCTGCATAACCCCAGGACTATTGCTCTGGGTGACTTCAGCATCCACACTGAGGCTGTCCTGACAGGTCCTACTTGGGATTTCGTAGCTGCCATGGCAAACCTGAAACTATCTCAATATATTGTGGACACCTGTGGCAGGTCATTCTCTGGATCTGTTTTGTTTTGTTTTGTTTTTTTGTTTTTTTGCCCCTGGAAGAACAAAGGAAAATCTGTTTTGGGGGTTGGTGGGTGGGGTTTCTAGCCTGATGTCAGCTTCGAGTGGTCCACCAGCTATGATTGTTACTGGATAGGGATAACCTGGCCAGAGTAGTCCATGCCCTGGTAACTTTCTGGCTAGACTACTGGAATGCAATTTATGTGGGCTTACCCTTGGAAGATGACATGGGTGCTGTAGCAGGTCCAGTGTGCAGCAGCTAGACTGCTAAGAGAAACATTATTCAGAACACACAGGATACCAGTTCTGATGGATTTGCTCTGCCTGCCAATATGTTCCAGTCTGAATTCAAGGTGTTGACAATTATAAAACCTTAATGGCTTAGGACCTGGATATTTGAAGGCTCACTCTCCCTACCTAAACCTATCATTATTAAGATCCTTTGGGGAGGGCATCCTCTCTGTCCCATCATTGAGAACAGTTCATTATGGGTGAGACAAAAGGGAGGGCTTTTTCTGCCATAGTACCCCAACTGTGGAATGCCTTCCCCTTGGAGCCTTAACTGGCACTGACCTTGGCATCATTTTGATGCCAAGTCAAGATGTACTTGTATATTAGAGCCTTTGGGATTGAGGATAATGGCCTGCATAGGTTTTAGTGCAATTGATTTAATCTTTTTAAAGTTTGAATGTTTTAATTTTTGCTGCTTAATAGGTAATTTATTTTTGCATGAGATTTCAGGAAGAGGAGGAAGATTCAGAAAATTAATCCAAAATTAAAAGGCTAGTTATAAAATTCAGGCAGCTGTAGACTTGGGGGCTCCAGTGGATGGGAGTGAGTAGCCATGTGTTACTTACTGAAACCTGTCTGTGTCCAGATGGATGTTAGGAAGAGTATTGTTTTGAATAAAAATGGGTTCTATGGATGCCAGGAGCTAAGCTCTCTTCTACCCAGTCTTGCTGTGCTCCATTACATTTCTAGCTCATGTCTGCCATTAGAGTCAGGCTGAGGAGAAAAGTGTTTGAAGTTTGGTAAGTCAGAGCACAGTGGAATATGGCAGGGAATAGATGCATGCTCCATGGTGTGCAATTTTATACTGCCATGAAAAAGAGAAAATTTTTCAAAGCAGTGACTTTCTGTTTTGACAGCGGATTCTCCAGGTTCTTTTGCCTGACCTTGCTGCCAAGGCTAGTCCTGCAGCCTCTGTTCTTATCCGAACAATAGCAAAACAGCTGAATGTAAACCGAAGAGAGATCCTCATCAACAACTTCAAGTACATTTTTTCTCATATAGTCTGTTCCTGTAATAAAGATGAACTGAAGCGAGCACTTCACTATCTCAAGGTAATTTTGAATTTTCCCAATGGTGCTTTCAATTAACAAGATGGGATCAAGCCAGTGTTGTGCTGAAACAGGGGCACAGTTAATAATGCACCATATGCCTAATGAACCTTTCAAGTACTGTATAACCTTTCAGAGTATTTATCAAAATACTCTGTGATCTTTCTGCTTGTGGGGAAAAATGGGGATTAATAACTCAGTGTGCTAGTTTTAACCTATAAACCCCTAGACGGCCTGGGTCAAAGCTATCCCAACCATATCTCCCATTATGAGCCAGCTTGGGTGTTAAGATCATCAGGAGAGGCCTTTCTCTTGGTCCCGCTGCCTTCACAGGTGCATCTGATGGGGACACAGGAGAGAGCCTTCTCTGTTGCTGCACCCAGACTTTGGAACTCCCTCCCACTGGAGGCCAGGCTGGCCCCATCATTGCTGTCCTTCCGCAAGCAGGCAAAGACCTTTCTGTTCAGGCAAGCCTTCCCTCAGTAATCAGCTGCGTGTGTGTGATTTTTTTTTTTATAGATTGCTATGCATTACTGCATTGACTGAATTTTTAGGACTATTTGTGTTTACCATTTTTGTAGTTTTCATTCATCAGAGTGGCATTTTAAAAAAATTGTTTACTTATTCTTAGCTTTAATATTGCCTTTTAAGTACGTATGTAAATGCCTCTTAACTCATTGTTCAATTCTTAGCTTTAATATTGCCTTTTAAGTATGTAAATGCCTCTTTACTCATTGTTCGTAGCTTTAAATATTATCTTTTAATTATGTTAATCACTATTGTATACTCATTGTTTTCAACTTCAAGTATTGTTTTTCAATGATGTAATCCGCCTTAGGTCCTTTTCAAGGAGAAGGCAGCGTGAAAATATTTTATATAATAATAATAATAATAATAATAATAATAATAATAATAATAATAATAATAATAATA